CTTGTTAATTTAACAGCTAGGTTTTTTAAAAAATTTAAATTAATTAAAAAATGTGTGAAAATACAGATGCACGTAACTTAAAAAACTGCCTGAATAGCTGCATTTGGAGGCTTTTGAGGGCAGCACCTTCCAGCGTGACAGGCAGGGGGGGGCGCGAGGGGCCATGCTGGAATGGCGGCAGCGCCCAGAGAAGTGAGGCAGAGCCCGGCAGGCAGCGCGAAGGAAGTTCTGCGGCAGGGGGCTCCAGGGAACGACATCTCCCCTTGCCCAGGGATGCTTTCAGGCAGGCTCAGGGCCGGGCATGTGTGGTGGTGTTTAAAATAGATTGAGTGAGTCCGACATGTGCTTTGCACATGGATTTTAAGGTGAGAGAAAGCAGGGGCCAAGCCTCTGTAAATGCCAAGTCTGCTGCCAGGAGACTCTCCTCTTTCTCTAACAAGACAAGGGATGCAACACTTAATCCTCCAGGCTGTTAAACAGCTCAGGTGAAATCCTGGCCCCACAGAAGTCCATGAGGAAAAGATACCCTTTACCTTCTGTAGGGAATGCAGCTAAGCTCTTGAACGCCTATGGCCCTCCTGCCTTCCGTACCTGCAGGTCATGCGGGACCCGTCCCCATGTGCCCGCCCGCCCCACCGCCCACTCCTCAGCTCTGCCTGGCGCTGAAGTGCTTTGTCAGTAATGATACTGGGCTGTTTGGGCAGCGGATTATCTGTGGACCCTGGGAAGCACTGCGCTCCCTGTGTACCTGGGAAAATGCCTTTAGCACTGCACTCAGCTGCCTGCTCAAAATCTGCTGGAGAAACCACCTCCTGCCCATGGTCCTTGGGTGGCCAGGGACCCTCAGTGGCTTCTGGGGTGGCTGGTGGGGGCGATGTACCCCTCCAGCTGGTCAGCGTGATCCTGCCTGGTTCAGCGATCAGCATCACTTCCAGCACCTGAGCCCTCATGCCCGATGGCTCAACTGAATGTTTAGGCTGGGACAGAAGTCCTGGCTGCATGTGATGGGAGAGGCCCTGGTCATACACACGGTGTGGTTAAATGCGTGCTGGTTCCCTGTGGGTACCAAGGAAGGCTTCTCTTAGCATTTCTGAGGAGAGATAAGAGACAGTACTACTGGTCTTTTCCTATCCCAATAAATATATATTACATTAGCAATTATTGTTTATGTAGTGTATGGCAGTCTAGGCACTATAGAATACTTGCATATCTTGTTAACCTGAAACCTGACGTTTGGTTGTAGCTTATTTGGAGCCTTTTCTAAGACCACTAAACATTCCTGGACCTCAAACTACAAGATCCCCTAACACCGAGCGTGAGGAGGGAGGGCAGGGTGACATGCAAATTTTTATGGGAGTAAAATCCTGTAGTTCCCTTGTGAATCTCAGAGACGGCTGCCCCAGCTCAAGCTGAGCCTGCAGAGCCATGCTGTGTGGGTGCTCAGCTGACCTTCAGCTTCTCCTTGATGATAATTCACTGGGGTAAAAGGATGTTCCAAAATTATTCTTAGCACTATGAGGTCATTGAAAAGCTTGGAAAATATTTAGCCTTATGAAAGAGATCATAACAGCGCTGTGCAGGTAAGAGTGCTAGGAGGGAAAACTGGAGGACGCGTACTGGTTCAGACAAACCAGGCAAGTTCTGGTGCCTTCTGCTTTCTCTGCAAGGTGAAGAGGATCTGAGGTGGCTGGAGATGAGGCAGCATCACCTCATCCAGCCTCAGGTCCCTTCCCTGCGCATCCTCAGTGCCGAGATGCCCGCAGCGGCTGTGTGCGGCAGGGCCCTGGGCAAGGGCTGCAGGGAGGGGCTGTCATTGCACGTACCTGACCCTGGGACAAGGTGTACGAGGAATTTGATGGCCTCATGCAGCCATGGCTGTGTGCTAGCACTTGAGCTGCTTCTCCGAGCAGTCTCTTTGCGGATCTGTGGATTTACACAGCAACTGTGCTCCCTTCCCACAGCTGCTATCTCTAAATCGAGGATAGTAATTCCCAACCCAGTGAAAGAGGAAACATTTTGCTGCCCCACCATGCACATGAGCCTCAACATTGACCACAACTGTGGCAAAGCAAACCCCAGGTGCTCCCTGGGGCAGCCAGCTGTGCGGGGAGGCTATCGTCTGCCGGGGTGCACCGCCAGCCAGGTGACCAGGAAGCTGGCAAAGACTCCCAGTGTGGTGGCAACGTGCCATGTTGGGAAGAGAGGCATCCCCTTGACAGGCCTCTACAGCTCTGTGCTTCACCTCAGACTGCAAGATGGAGAGGAAGCAGAGTAGAGGCAGATGGGATAATGTTGCCTTCTTTCTATCCTCGGGCATCTTCCCAGCCCCGTTCCCCGTTCAGCTGTGGGAAGTCGTGGCTCCTGCTAAGAGGACGGGAGCAGCCTGAGAGGTGTCTCTTTGCTGGTGCCAGAGTCCCCATCCAGTCCCCTGCCCAGGGCAGAACAGAACTGAGCAACACTGTCAACAAATTCGGAGGGGAAGTTTAATATGTGTGTGTGTGTGTCTGTCTGTGTCTGTGTATGGGGGGTGATGGGCTGGGGGAAAGCTGCTGAAATGCCAGCGGGCTCTCGCTCTTTGGAAAGGCAGAACTGGTGTCAGAAAAAGGAGCAGGGAGAAAAAATGCCCAGGTTATCGGGGGAGGTGGCGGTGAGAGGGGACACATCCCAACCCAGACCTCACTAGAAGAGGTGCTGCTCCACAGCCTCACTCTCCCTGCCTGATCCCAGGAAGCCGGGAGCTGCCGCGTTCATGCTGGAAACACTCCACTTACGTTAACATATGTACTTTATATACTTAGGGTAGCTAAAAGTGCTGCATTCAGATCCCCGAGGAGGCAACTGCTGTCTGGAGTCCAAGCGGATGGATTTTTTTGGCTGTCCCCATGTGCTCTCTCCGTGTCTCGCGGGCACCGGGCTGCAGCCCTGTCATGTCGCCCAGGAGATAGCGGCGCTGTGCTCCTTTGCTTTCATCCTCAGGGCAGCGATGCTGGAGGTCTTGCGGTCCGGCTCGCTGTTCAGCTCGTAGCCGTTGAGGCCAGGGCTCATCCCGGCTGTGCCGAAGAGGCCACCCATGTGAGTCTGTCCCACGTGGCTGGGGGG